GTAGTAGTTCTCCTAACAACATTGCCAGGTATTTGTTCCTCTGACAAATCTCATACCTGACCACCATCTCCTCTACATCTCTATGCATCCCCTTCTAGTACAGCTCCGATTCTAACCTCTTGTATGTCCTTCTGCACCAATGAATGACCCCCACAGCGCTCTCATGAAACTCCTGGAGTAAGTTTGGAATGTGGATTGAGATCCAGGGCATCATAAATCTCCCCGGATATAGTAGTCTGTCCCCCTCCAATAAGTACCCTAGGTGATTACCCCCTTCCCTCAGTAAATATGTCTTGATCTTTCCCAACTCCTCATCCCTACCACTCTCCTCCTTGATGGCCTCCTAATCTAGCATCAAAGGAATCGATACTGCCACTGTCTGCAGCTCCCTAATACATCTGGACAAGACATCTGCTGCCTTGTTCTTCATTACTGGCTTGTACTTGATTTCAAAATCATATCCGAGCAATTTGGACAACCATCTTTGATGCTCCTCAGTCACCATCCGCTGCTCTAACAAATACTTCAGGCTCATCTGGTCAGTTTTGAAAATGAAATGTCTTCCTAACAGGTAGGGTCGCCACTTGTAGATGGCTAAGACAGTGGCCATCAACTCCCTCTCATAGACTGATTTCAGCCTGACTGTCAACGCCTTGCTGAAGTAGGCAATGGGTTGATGATTTTGCATGAGTACTGCCCCCAGTTTGTACCCTGAAGCATCTGTTTCCACTATGAAGGCCTGAGTGAAGTATGGTAAAGCTAAGACTGGTACAATAGTCATAACCTTCTTCAACCTCTTAAATATTGATGTGGCCGCCTCTCCCCATAAGAACCCATCTTTCTTTAATTGCTCTGTCTGTGACTATGCTATAATGCTATAACATTTTACAAACCTCCTATAGTACTTTGTCAGTCCTTAGAATCCTCTCAACTCCTTCAGATTCTCAGGTAAGGGCCATCACAACATAGCCTCAATCTTTGACTGATCGGCTGACACATCCTCTTTGGAAATAATATGACCCAAATACTCCATACTGGTCTGGGCAAAACAATACTTCTTTAGGTTGACCCTCAACTGATGTTCCTGTAGGACTCCCAAGACCATCTTCAAGTGCTCCAGATGCTCCTCAGTTTTCTTGTACACTAGTATGTCATCAAAAAATACCCAAACAAACTTCCGGAGGTACTGCCTGAACACCCCGTTCATCAATGACTGGAAAGTAGCAAGGGCATTGGTAAGCCCAAACAGCATTACCAAAAACTCATAATGCCCCTCATGTGTCCTGAAGGCTGTCTTGGAGATGTCTGCCTCCTTCATTTTGATTTGATAGTATACAGACTTCAAATCCAATTTGAAAAATATCACTGCCCCATGTAGTTCATCCAAGAGCTCATTAATCATAGGAATAGGGAACTTATATGACATTGTCTTATTGTTCAAAGCTCTATAGTCCACACAAAATCGCTAGCTCCCATCCTTCTTCTTGACCAGTAGGACTGGACTAGAGAAATGACTCACACTCGGCCTGATAATCCTAGCCTCCAGCATCTCACGAATCAGTTTCTCAATGTCATCCTCCTGAAATTGAGAATATCAATAGGGCCTAATGCTGATGGGTGACACACCTTCCCTCAAGGCGATGACATTCTCCTGATCCCTCAATGGTTGTAATCTTGAGGTGGCTGAAACATCTCCTGAAATTGCTGAATCAACGGCTGTATGGAGAAGGGTATGTCCCAACCCTCCAATCTAGCTCCCTCCAAACAGTGCAGCTCCAAATATCCTCCACCCACCACATGTATACTCCTCACCATGGTTTTAAGAGAAACCATGGATTTGGATAGCCCTGCATCTCTCCTGATCACCACCTTCCTTCCATCCACCATCAGCTCCATCATGAGTGCTCTCCAATTAGCCTTGGTGTCTCCCATGGTCTGCAACCACATCATCCCTAGGATTTCATATGTACTCCTTAACTCTAGTAGAAGAAAATCTTTCCTCACCTGAATCCCTTGGATAGTCAGTAGCACTCTTCTACAGATCCATTGGCCTTTCTCCACCTTCCCCGTACCCATCATCACCCCATAACAACTGGTATCCACCAATTTCACTCCCAATTAGTCGACAATCTGAGTGGAAATGAAATTGTGGGTAGCCCCACCCCACTATCAATTAGCACCACCACCTCCATGTCCTCTATCCCCCCCTTCACCTTCATGGCATGATTCGTAGTGAATCTTACCACCGAGTTCAGGAAAACCTCAGCCATATCCAGATGCAGCTTCTCCTCCATCTCCTCCTCTAACTCTCCCTCACCTCCCTCAATTTTCTCGTCATCACAAACAGTGAGAACTTGAAGAGTTCGGTCCCTACACCTATGCATTGAGTATACTTCTCATCACACCTGAAACAAAACCTCTTCGCCCTCTTCTCCTGTATCTCTTTCTCTGCCAGCCTCTTAAAGTTTCCCCCACTAGCTCCTCCTACTGTCTTCTCCCTGGTGGTCTCCCGAATTCCTCATGTTGCAGGACCCTTAGGTGCTAAATGAGTGGTCATCATCTTGTAATTACCTCCTAAGCTACTACTCCTGCCTCCTCTCTCTAGATTCCTCTGATTTTCAACTAGTTGTGCCAATTTCATGGCCTCCCCAAAGTCACGAGGTATCAGAAGTTTCACTGCCACTCTGATCTCTTCCTTCAGCCCCTTTATGAAGTTTTCCTCCAATACAATATCTAATAATCACTCCACTCTACTGGCTAGGTGCTCAAATCGCTCACGATAGTCTACTACTAATCCCTCTTGCACCAGAGCAAAGAACTGCTCATAGAAATCTCCTCCCCGATTGGTTTGGAAATGCTTTATTATTCAGTCTTTGAATTCTGCCCAGCTTCTGATGGGTCTCCTCTTGTCTCTCCACTGGTACCATGACAGCGTCTTCCCCTCTAAACATAAGCCTGCTGCTGTCAGCTTCTCTTCCTCCGTTAACCCATTGATGACGAAGTACCTCTCCACCTTATAAATCCACCCATACTCATCCTCCCCTTCGAATATATGCATCTTCAACTTCCTCACCTTCTGATATCCTCCATTTCCCCTTATTCCTCCATAGCTTCCCCTCTCCCACGTGCTTAGCCCTCCACACATCTCCCGGTCTTTCCTTGCCCTGTCATAACCCAAACCTCATTCGAATTCCCCTCTCCTTTCTTCAAATTCAGCACCTCGGCGGCCATAATATCCCTCCCGGTGTTCCCAATCAGCACCCCTTTACTCCGCTCTCCCATACCCATGCCTTTCCCCATACCTACCTCCTCTATCCTCCCTTTGGAAAGGATCTATATAGGGTTTTCTTCTTTCTCCCTCCATGATCTCCACCTCATCTTCCTCCCTACAAATTTTAGAATTCGTGTTCTTCCCTTCTAACCCTTTTGCCACTGAAGCTGTTATTTGGTTGTGGATTTCTAATATTTTCTTTATCATGTCCCAGAGATCGGTTACTTGCCCTTCCACGGAGGAAATCCTGTCATCTACTATTCTCTTGATTTGGTTCATCTCCCCTTGCAGTCTTTCTTCTAGCGCATCAACTTTCTTGGCCACCATCTCTATCAGGATTTTTGTAGATTAAAAAGAAAAATCTGGATTTGGATCACAAAAACAACAACTTTCACCTTCACCGGCCAAAATTCAGCTGCTGAAATTTACCAAAATCAGCCCACCAATGATTCCAAGACTTGCTTTGATATCAATTTGCTAGGAAATGCTTGAGTTTGCAAGCAACCGTAGCAATAATTGGTAAAAACAGAGAGAATAATGCAAAAATCTGGATGAAATCAATCCAAAACGATAGATTGTAATAAGGGAATCAAAGCAAAGCAAACACGAAGTAAGATACAATTGATCATCAATTTGAGAGGAGGATCGTTCTCTCCCAATCTCTAGATGATGAGTCTAGAGCCCAAGACGCCAATGACCTCCAAGTGAACAACTCAGAACATGCATGCCCTAACCCTAGCCTCCCTTCATCTTTTAATACATATCTTCCTAATAAAAACCAATAAAAAGCTTCCTAAAATAAACCAATATTCAAATAGTTTCCCTATGCAATTTTCGCCCCCTTCCCTCTCTCTCTTTGCCGCCCTAGGGGAGCCCACAAGCGTGGGCCGGTTCAGACGGTTTGGGAAGAACCATGACATAAGAATGCACACATTAATCCTAGAGCACATATTTTTTGGGAGCTTCATTTGTTGGTACATCCCTTTTAAGGCAAAAAAATACAGCATATGTTTATATCAATTTTTGCTTAAGAAACAGCCGTGCTTATAACTTGTTGCAATTTGTATAAAAGTAACAATCGTTTACTTTCTATGATGATTGGAATTTAAAAGAGGTATTTTCTTCAAATGTATTCTGGCCCATGGAAGGGCAAGTAACTAGGCATCACCTTTAAATTGCCTGGAGATTATTATCCTAGTTTGTGACATATTTCTACAAATCATAATCATCGTTATCATTAGCAACTGCAGCTGCTTATCCAACTGCTATTTAGAATTATTTTTTGTTTTGAGCTTGATTTGCTTTTAAATCTAAACTACCTTTAAAAAAGCAAAATTATATCCACGGCAGACTTGTCCTACTCATTTGTCTTCCTCACCTTTTTGCATTACTTATTATCTCTCACCTAATGGGAGTTTTCTGTTCTGCACTCTTGAATTTGGCTAAGACCATCTCATTCTATTTTCTATTGGACCATGATGGTTTGCCCTAGCCATTTTGATTTTGATAAATATGAATTATCTTTTATGTGATAACATTTGAGTCAAAGTTCCCTTGTACAATTGATGGAGTTTTTTACTTTTCTTTTCTCGAAAAGTAGAACTTTAACTGGGAACTTTAGTTTTATCAAGCAGACAGTAATATTTGTGCTTTTCCTTAGAATATCTAGTGATTCAATTATGAATATATATGTAAAGAGTTGATTCAATCATGAATGCTGCTTGCGCAGGTATGAGATTGATGACAGGCTAAGTTCAGATCACGAGAAAACTATTGTGGAGAAGTTGTTACTTTATCATCCGGAGAGTGAAAAGAAGATAGGATGCGGGGTAGAGTATATCAAAGTTAGTTTCCTCACAGCGCATGCTTTACTAAACTTTGAAAGGTTTTAGAATTATTTTATCAATCCTTTATAATTACTCCAGCATCTTGAGTAAGAATTTGCCTCATCTATGTCGTAATACTTACCTTGCCAATGTCCTGAACAGTTCATTTGTTGATCAAATATATACATTGTAGAGACAAAATTTAATGGGTAACCACTTTTTTTCAACCAATAAGATGCCCTTGATAGAAATTAGTACGCTTATAAGATCTGTATGAACTTCACTTATCTCAGTTTTCTACATGTGTGAAATGTCATATATAATTATTTGCATGCCCTGTTATACCTTTTCTCAGAATGATGTGCAGACTTCCAAAAACATGTGTTAAATAGGGTTGCACTACATATAGCACCTAATAGGAATGAATGAGAAGGTTAAGGAGATTGATAGTTTAGGACTAAACTATTATATTCCTGTAGGAGTTGTGCCAGAAATAGTGTAGGTATAATTATAGATAAAAATTTGAAGATAATATTGTAGAAAATAATAGAATTATAGATATAATTATAACTTTAAAGATTGTTGTTGATGCTTAGATTATTAATATTATTAGTGTTTATGCTCCTCAAGTAGGTTTGAATATCTATTCAAAATTAAAATTTTGGAATGATGTAAAATAATCAATACAAAGGATAGTTCTTAAAGAAAGAGTTTTTATTGGAGAAGATTTAAATGAATATATTGGTAGAGGTAGAAGATTTTAATAGCATTTATTATAATTATGAGTTTGGAGTGACTAATGAAGGTGGTTGAACTAAATTAGATTTTGTTCTAGCTGATGATTTTCTAATTGTTAATGTCTTATTTAAGAAGAGAGAGAATCATCTCATCACCTATAAAAATGGTTATAGTAAAACTCAGATTTATTTATTTTTAATAAGAAAAATGGATCTTTTAGATTGCAAAGATTATTAAGTGAATCCGAGTGAAAATTTGTATACCTAGTATCACTTTATTAGTTTTGAACTTTAAGTTGAATGGGAATAATATGAAAAATAAAGTAAAATATTTTTCTAGGATTAGATTTTTAAGAATACCAATAAAAATATTTTTTAGAGTAATATTCAAGATCTCAATATTTTGATTGTGAATGAAAAAGTTAATATTATGTTGGAAAATAGTTGGTGATATTAATAATTTTACAAATTATGTGCTTGGAGTATCAAAAGAAAAAAGTTTCTAATAGTAAAAATAGTTGGTGGTTGGATCAAATTGTGTAAGAAAATATTAAAAATAAGAAATTTTGTTATTCAAATTGGTTTAGTTATAAAAGCTCAGAATATTGTGAAAGATACAAAGGGGTTCGTCAGGAGTCAAAGAAAGTAATATGCGATACCAATAATTTAATTTTTAATGATTTATATAATATATTAGATCTAAGGAGGATGAAAGATGTATGTATAAGTTAACCAAGCAAAGAGATATGAGAAGGATATAGTTCAAGTGAAGTGCATTAAGGATGAAGATTAAAAAATGTTTTTTTTAGAAGAGGATATTCAATGAGGGTGGATGAGATATTTCGATAATCTTTTTAATGAAAATTGTGATAATACGATTGACTTTAGTGATCTTAGTATCCTAAATGAAAAAAAAAAAATATTTTTATCATCGTATTAGTTTAACCAAAGTTATAGTGGCTAAAAGAAAATGAAGTGTGGTAAGGCAGTTTGACCTGATCTTATTGCAATAGAGGTATAAAAATGCTTAGGAGTTGAAGGAATTTCTTTGCTTATTAATCTTTTTAAAATACTAAAAAGATGCAAGACGAGTTGAGGAGTGTTTTGATTTCTATTTTTAAATGAATGATCTTTTTATAAAAAATCTTCCTATATCTATTCAAAAACATCTGTGTGCCTCTGTAGCAAGAGAGGTTGTCAAATGCTTGATTCATTTGCAACCCTATTGGCTACTCTATATGCTCTAGACACTCTTAAGACATGCTAAGATAACAATGCACAAATGTTCAAGTGTAGAGTTTGATCAATGGTGACCAAATCGTGGCTTGCTCCATTGTTGGAAGTGTGCAATCCAAATGGAGTATGTGTACGTCCATATTCCTAAAATTCCTAAAATAGTGCTATGGAGACTCACAAATGCATGTTAAGTATATTACCATATGAAATTCTTCCTAATGGAAAGCTCCAGTCCTAACTAGGTCAACCTAGGAAGTGAAACTAGTTTAGTCAAATTGGGACCCAAAGTGGGTGTCAGTGTTCCTAGAATCAAAATAACTCAGATAAACTAGTTAATGAGCTATGCAACATACCAACGATGTCAGCTGGGGCTAGGGGATCAGAAGAAGGCCCTCTTAGGGTTTCACCAAATACAATAGAAAATTAGGGCTTTCATACAATTATCGAGTGTTTAATAAGCCTAATTCCAACAAACATGAAAACATGAATGTGTGTTAATATCAAATTTTTTCTAATTAAGTGTTTATACTCAAAAAATGGATTTCTATTAATACTTTAATGACCTCCTATTATTCTATCACCGAATGACATGTAATGGCCTACCCACTCGAAGGATTATGAAATGTCATAATTAAATGACAAAAGAAAGGTTAGCATTTTTTATTTAATACTTAACCCAAATAATAATAATTAATATTAATTGTTCACGTCAAAAAATTCCAAATCAAATCAAGGAAGCTTCAAATGACTAGAAACTTCTCTGAAAAATACTTCACTCTATTGATATCAAGCCTAAGTTTTTGTACAATTTTTTAGCATGATTTGCTAGATTAATTATTGAATTTTTTTAAAAAGCATTAAAAATAGAATGGTGAGATAAAGCATTTTTCTACTATTTTTAAAATGTAGAGAATAATTCCAGAGAAAAAATAATTTTTATTTCATGCAAATTGGATTAGAAATAAAATAGATATGATTTTTATAAGCTATATCTAATTTTTAACCCTTACCTCATTTATCCAGTCAGCAAAGTTGACTAGATCGGGCCCTATGCAACAATGGGAGGATGAATGTTACACGAAGAGATCATGACCATTGGATCTCAAAGCTAACATTGATCGATGACTACTTCTCTGTGCCCGAGTAAGGCACTCTAGTGGCAGTGGAAGGAGTCGACAATGACGATGCTTCGACCTTCATAATTGATGACAATAGGGTTTGTCCGATTGGGAAGGAAATAAGGGAGCTGATGCTTTGGTTGTCGATGCCAAAGGTGGCGCTAACAATTGTGATTGTGAGCTCAGAGCCTTCCTAGGGTTCTACCATGGTGGATTTAGGTTTTCATGAAAGGTTATGCCTCTCCTGGCTAATAGGGCTGCTCTAGGATTACCAGACAAGCTCTACAACTAACCTAGGGCCCTAGTAACGGAGAAATGTGGAAGACATGGTGAGATCACTTGTGGGTTGTTGATAATGGAAATGGTCTCGAGAAACCTCATTAGAGCAATAGCTCTCTTCCTTGAGTCAATGAGGAGTGGCTCTAGAATGTTGGAGTCTATTGCTTAGGCTGAAAAGAGTAGAATCCCCCATCCATGTTTTTGTTTGAGGGAGCTTTAATTATTTAGGGGGCTATGCCCATGACCATTGGTCGAACTGGGAGGTGGCTGCCACGTCACCAAATAGTTTAGGCATACCCTAAGCACATTTGGGTTTGATCAAGTGACATTAAGATGAAGAGTTGCGTTTGACCATTGGGAAAGGATTGATCCAAGTGACTCTCTTGTTCATAGATGACTAGCTAGACCCTAGGCTTCCTGTGTAATATGGCAGGGTATCGTGCCTTAAATTAATTCAATTGAATACAATTGCCCTAGGTTTGACTAAGACCCCCAAATCACTTCCTAGGGTTGACCAGGTTTGATTCAAGTGGCCCCTTGGGACTCCATAGTTTAAAGCACATGGGGACCGGGTTAGGTCACCCTCACATCTCTTATGTCAAGGTTAAGTGGGCTAATATGTTGGGTTGACCTATTGGGTTTGAACCACGCATGGGGTTGACCATGGGATGTTTGGCCTGATGTAGGTGGGTTCTCTAGGTGCCTAGATCTCTAAGTTTGGGCTAGGTTTTAACAAGACCACTTTAGGATAGCTTAGAGTACATCAAGCCAAAGGGTTAAGGTTTAAAAGGCTGTGTTGACTCAATAGAGATTGGGTCAATCCATAGAAGTAATCCTTAGACTTGTGCTTAGTTCAAGTGGACCCATTGGACTCCTAAGTGGTAGTCTAAAGTCTTGGGAGATCTCTTTAGACTAGATTGGACTGAGATTAGGGCCATTAGGTCAATATAGGATAATCTAGTGTCCTGAAATTGATTCAAAGATCTTGTGAATATTTGCTTTGGATTGGACTGAGCTAGGTTGACCTTAGTTGGAGTCCAGATTAGTTCATTAAGTATGGGGTAGCACTCAGGTTCAAGTGAAGTTCTGGGGTTAACTTGCTAGGATTCGAGTCTTAAAGGCTCATTTATAAGTTTGAGGAGTGACTAGGCCAATAATTTGAAGTTATGGGCATTTGGAGGCTAGATATGTTTGATATAATTCAGTCTAAGGTAGGCCAGATCGACTGGAATTGGTCAGGGAATGGCTCCAAAGTTATTAATAAAGAATTTTCTCCTTTTGCTTAGAAATATCAAATTATATTATGACACTTTAAGTTAGCTCATACCACATTTTCTTACCTTAAAAACTTATTTCTTTCTTTGTTTGAAAAAAAAAAATAACGTGAAATTTATCAACTTGCCAAAACCTAAGAATTACCTATAAGCCTAAGCCATATAAAGTTACTCAACTTTTTTCTCTTGTACATACTTATGTATGGAGCCCATCCATATAAAAATCCTCAACTTCAAATTGTGGTTCATTAATATGAAAAAAAGAAAAGAAAATTGTGGTTCATTATTTTTATTGATGACCATACATACTCATGTTTGTTGGCTATACTTATCTAAAGATAAATTGGATGCAGACCATATATTAAAAAAATTTCATAATATGATTAAACTATGATACTCTGCTGACATACAAATCCTTCAATCTTATAGTGGCATTGAACATTTTAATTATATTCTAAGAAGTTACACATGATATTATCTACTGAAGTTCTTGCCCCAACACTCCCAACAAAATGATATTGGTGAATGAAAAAAATAGTCATTTCTTAAAGGTAGCAAAACCTATTATTATTTTTTTTTTATCTTTTTTTCTTTTTTTCCCTTTTTTTTATTTTTTCCAGCAAAACCTATTATGTTTATGATAGGAAATACTTGATTTCAAGTATTCCCTAATCACTTTAGCAACAAATCTCAAGGCGAGCTGCTGTCCACAGCAAGAAAATCAGCCAAAACAGTAGAAAAGAGAGGAAAACTGCAGGAGATTAGGAGAAAACACCTGTATTTTACTAGTAGACGATGAAAATAGCAAAGATACAATTTGTTCTTCAATTCGAGAGGAAGAACAACTCTCCAGAAGCCCTCAAATAAAAAGAACTACAACAATACTCAAATCAAAACACATATGAAGAAAAATAAACCCTAGAACTAGCCTTAAATAAGCTCTTAAATTCCCCCTCAAAACAGCTTTCTTTCGTTATTAATTTCTCTCCTTAATTTGAATTCAATTAAGAAATCTTTTCCTACGTGATCCTCTCCTTAGTTCTCTCATAACATAATGAATTAATTCTTTACTGGACCCCACAAAGGTTTGCAAGGGTTTGAGTTGACACTACTGAAGAATGTTACTTTTTCTCTACTTTAAAAAAGAAAATGACTTTCCCCCTTCAATAGGAATGATCTTTGGTTTGTGCATTGTCTCTCTAGCTTCGTCTTCACTAGCATGGTCGATAGAGTGATGGTTCTTATCATCATCCGCATAAATGATGAGGCTCCAAGGAAGATGAAGATAAATGGAGGAGATTGCTGCAGAAGATGGTGACATGGTTTGCAAAAGATCTTAATTGAAATACTAACAAAGAAAAGAAGGCAATCACGATGTTCGTCACCATTAATGAAGCGAATGCGAGTTTTGTGGCTATAGAGGGGTCAAGATCAATGTAGTAAATGATTGTAGGTTTCATATCTCATGGTATCAATACAATTGACTCGCCCTCCTTTTCTGTAAGAGCTCATCAGCATTCAGCACTAACTCGCACAAATTAGTGCTTCACTAGCAACGATATTGGTTTGTTATCATGCTCTGAATAGTTGCGTGAAAGAGGCATGATAAGAAGCAAGAAAGAGGACGAGGATCTTTATTTCTTGTTTTCAATTAATGTCTACAAAGGATTGACGTTTATGAAACATATTTTATGTATGAGGGTTTTTAAAAGCATGAGCCAATTTAAAGAGCCTTCTATATCTGAGAGATCTGCTTGTAATTTACTTATTTTATGATCTATTCATGCTCAAAACAATGCCATTTTACCACTTACTCATGTCATGATTGAAAAGCAAGGTGGTATTAGTGGTGCATTCTCCTGTTATGAAGTCCCTTCAGAAGTTCAGCATTTATTAAAAGCGTTGTCGTTAAATTTGCCTGATAACTCTATTGTTCTTCCTGGGTAGAACTCTATCTCTTTCTGCAAGGGACTTTCTAAGCTGAACCACTTTTTTTGCACTTATATTAAAGTTTATTGCCACTTCTAATACTAATAAAGCTGAATATTCCATTATTAGGAAGAATGATTTAGCTCAACTTTCTGAATCTATGATATACTTAATTGCTAAAATTCAAAATGGTACCAATAATCTGTATTCAGGAAGGTAAAAAGCATTTTATATTGCTATTTTTTTGGTAGGATTTTACATCTTGTATCAAAGATAACCTTTGTGCTACCATTTGTTAGGTAGGATTACATCCGGAGTTCCAGGAGTCACGTTGCCTCTTCATTGTAAGAAGTGATGGGCAGATTGTGGACTTCTCCTATTGGAAGTGTATCAAAGGTCTGATAAGAAAGAAATATCCACTCTATGCAGATAGTTTCATCCTAAGACATTTTAGAAGGAGACGGCCAAATGAGTGAGCTGCTGTCAGGTTAGGTTTGTCCTAGAATGCAATATAGATTTGTAATTTATTTTAATTTCTTGTCTCTTTGTAATATTATGGCAAAGTCATCGTTGACATTTCAAGCATTGTACTTATTTTAATTTTCCTTTTATTATTGTTCCAGCTTCATGAGGAATTAGTAGGTTTACATTGGCCATGCTCTACAATTTCTCAGTTCATATTAACTGTCATGTATCAAGGAATACATCTCCCTTTGTATGCATTTTTTTTCAAATATTAGAAAAGGAGGTTATGATATGTAAATTTACATTTTAAGGTTGTCATCGAAAGAAACAATTCAACACCAATGAAGCATTTGCGCACGCATGACTTGTTTATTTTCCACGGTAGATGCCATGTTTTTTGATTGGGATCTTCTTGCGCACATATGATTAATGTAGTGACTTATGTATGTTGTTTTAGGTTGTGGTCTAGCTTTGATGTGAAATCAATTTAAAACATTCTGTAGTCTCCCAATTGGGCTTTTGAATTTTTTTATCCTTTTTGAAGTTGTTGGAATTAATCTTCATGTATTTGCCTCATGGTTGGCTGGTTACACTACGCTAAATCATTGTTAAGTGTCTTAAAAGTCATTGTTAGGGTGGGGATGGCAGACCACATCCTCTTCAGGTATACTGTTATAGCTGATCCTCATTGAACCTAAAAGTTTAAGTGGGTAAGAGTATCGATTAATATTTCAAATTTAATGGGAACTAATCCCATTTTCTAAGATGATTATCATAACAATCTCTTGCCTTAGTTCTCATATTAATTATATTTGTATTCTTTTCTCAAATTTATTTACCATATACTATCATGTACAAGAGTATATCCATTGTGTCCATTTTTAAGTCTTGTGTGGTTCATTTGGGATTATAGCTACATATTATGTATCAATCAAGAATGCGCCAAAATTATCATTGTGCTAATTAAGGCTATATAATATGTAATTAAGTCGTATAATTGTAAATATTTATATTTTAGGAATACAATTGTAGGTTTCTTGTCAGGTTACATTTGATAACTTGAATTACTCAAACATTACTTCATATTAAATATATCCTAATATTTTATATATAATGACCTAATATTTTATATATAATGAGTAGAACCCTCAATGTGAAGGTCACTAATATGATTTACATGATATCAAAGACACGATCTAGTTTTGGTCTCCTCCTTTTCTCTGTAGTACCAATTCTCTATTGTCGATCTCATCTCCATGCTCACAATCATGTATTTGAAATCTAAATAGCATCCAGTATCAAATCATCTATGTGTTGATCATGTCTTTGCCTGGCATGGCGAACAACATATGCCTAATCTTTGTGTCGATCTTGTATCCTCTCTTCCAATGCTTCATGCCATTTATCCACCTCAAGTGTGTCTGAGAGCCCACCACTCTCCTTCGAAAATGTGTTATGAGAGTTCATTCTCTAGCGCTTCTAGTGCTCAATGCTCATTCATGTACACAACACTCTCCTCGTTGATCCTATTTTTTTCCCCATCGCCCTTTAGCATTGATTCATTCAAGCTTGTTGTACATTATATATTTGTTATGTTAAGGCTTCTTCTCTATGCAACAATCACTTGGTATCTTTTCGATGAGTTGAAGAAAAACACATCATGTCAACCATGCCATAGGACAATTTGTATATTTTTGTTGTATGCCATACTAGTAAAATTATTCTGTATGTGATTTCATTTATTTGTCATGGAAAAAAATTTGTGGTGCATATTCATGAAAATGATCCTGCCTTTTTAATTTTTAAAATTTCATCAATGACAAATCTTGGATTTAAGAGTCATGACATAGATTTCAAGTTTTGTTGACCAGGCAATTATTTTCAAGCTATGACCATATAAGAGATCTAAATATATATAGGAGTATTTATGAAAGGTTATAATCAGGACCAAACATCTAGACATTTCCAATTATAATATGAGATTTTAGTTACATCTAAGTCTATCTCTCTATCTGAGATCATTTTTATGGATTTCAAAATTTATGGTCTTAATTTTTTTATATGATTTATGTAAGTGCATAATGAATCTCTTGCTGTTATTGAAGAGGTTCACAGACAAATCAAGAGATTAATTTTTTATGAAATTTTGTCTTGAATGTATAGCTATGTAGACAAATTTGATGAATTATTATCCTTCTCCTTTATTGGACGTGTTACTTAAAGAATTACTTCGCTAAGAGCAATGACATGTAACACAAAATATCTTTTAACAAAATTAAATGCATGAGAATGCAATTGCTTATGCAACCTAAGAGAAAGGAAAATGATGAGATATGTATCTAATGAATGCTTAAGTTGTAAGAGCTTCAAACATATTGTTGCCAGCACTACAAAAAAGTTTTGCAATTAATGTAAGAAGCTTGGGTACATTATTAAAAATACACACTCTTCCTCAAAATTATCAATCAAATGCTAACCAAATGGTTTTTGCTGATCATGTCATTGATTTTATAGTTGTACATAAATCAACTCTTACTTCAGAAATGGTTCAACAAATGATTATAAAGCCTTACAAGCCTTAGGGTCATAAGGTAAATATGCTCTTCCTTCCTCATCTTGGTTTGTGAATTTTGGTGCATTTAATCATATGATTGGTTCATCGGTTCTTATTTGTAATATTCTACCATAACATGGATCATGCTCTATTAAACTTGCTCTTAATACTCAGCTAGCTAATAATGTTATTGAAATATTAATTCTTTTTTAAAAGATATCCTTATATCTCCTAAGCTATCTACTAATGTCATCTCAGTAGATAAATTGATTGATAATAATTGTGTTGCTCAATTCTCTTGTGATGGTTGTATTATGCCTGATCAGATGACGAAGAAGATACCACGAAGGGCCTAAAGTGGGATGCTTATTTCTCTCACACCTTTCTATTTCTGAGTTGTTTTATCGTTTTGTACTGCAATTAAACAAAATAATGACCCATGAGAAACATTTAAGCCATCTTAATTCTACTGTTTTATCTCAGTTAATATGCTTTTTTTATTGGATAATAAAAAACAAATTTCTGTTCTTTCTTTTGTCTGTTGAACCAATAAATTTTGGGAAATACAGGTCTCTTTCTTTTCCATCACATGATACTCATGCTGAAAGTTGTTGACTTTCTTCATGATAATCTATTTAATGTGATTTTATGGATTGTAAGGACGCATTTAGTTGTTTTTGGTACAAACAAGAACATGAAATTAATTGAATCTTTTTTTTTTTTTTTTTGCTTATGTAGCTAAAATGGCTACAATATAAATGATAATCTTATTGTTGCTTCACAAGGATGGCCACTCTATCAATAAACATTAAAAATACTTTTTTTTTTTCATGGACATCTCAAGGTGGAGATTTATTGGTTCTACCGCTTGCTGTTTCCCATCCTCTCCTCAAATGTAAAGTAAATCACTCTCTATATGGACTGAAATGGCCAGTTTAACTCATCATTTGTTATTTTCACGACATCCGATGATATTGCTTTTTTCCTTGGTTTATGTTAATGATATTGTTAGTATTGGGATAAATTTGACACTAATTACCCATTTGCAACAACATTTTTCTGCGACATTTCATATGAACAATTTTGATGTTTTTATTTATTTCTTGGGTTTGCAAGTTCACAATAATCTTTATGGTATTGTTCTGAACCATCATAAATATATACATTACATGATTAATTTGGTAGGCTTCCCAAAATACTTTTCCTATGAGTACTTCATTGGAAATTAAGTCAAAGTATCATAGTGAGAGAAGTGAGCTTCTGCAGTTAACCCCTGTTCTTTTGTATTTTCAACGTAGAAACTGTTTATCCATGATTTCCATTGCAAGTTTGACTTGATTTCTGGCAAGGTAGAATCAGCTGTTGTTGTGCTATGTTTCTATAGGCAGGACCCCGTAGCTGTTCTTTTTATCGAATAAGGATTAACAACAGTTAACATCAAGGTTTCTTTTTTGAACAAAAATTTCAATTTTTGTACTAGAAAGTTGCTTTAAGAAGCAATAAGGAAGCCGTCCCAAACGAATCTTAAATATGCATCGACCTTTCCCAAATGTAATTATGTTGACTTTGATCCTTGAAGATCCACCTCAACTAACCTTAGCAGTTTATTGTTGTATTAAGTAAGATCATATTGTAGTTATTTATGGAGATTGTTCCTTATAATATCAACCAGCTCGAATGAAACTGCAAGCATTGTGACGTTTACTATACTATCAATATGACCTTCAGAACTAAGCTGATTATAGTAAAAAAAACAAAAAATTTGTTTAATCTACTGTAGGGTTGATGACTGCCTTTTTTATTCCTTTTATCTGTAAATTTAATATGCTAGATGAATGCTTACATCATTATAAAAATTGATTATTTACATTTGTAACACAATTATTTTAATATAAATCATAATAAACAATTGTTAAGATTAATCAATTTTCCTTTCGAAGGAGAAAAGTTCATCTCTAGACATTTGTGCCAGATAAGAGTATATATTAAGTAGCTCTAATTCCCATAAATTTTAAATCATTTACTTGAGAGACAGATTATTATTTTAATATGAACGAGCTTTAGTCATCCTATTTGTTATATCTTTTATACGCATTTTGAGATATAGAGAGTTATTAGTCCTGTTATATGTTATATCTTTTATACGCATTTTGAGATAGAGAGCTATTTTAAATGAAAGAGAATATAATTCTTGTTCATCTTATATTGTTTATCTCCATGTGTGGATGAGAGAGAGAAAATGTGTGTTTTTCTAGATGAACCTAAGCCACAGAAACTTTATATTATTTATCTATTTGTGGCGTATGGAGAGAGAAGAAATTATTACGTGAGAAATTTGGACAGTGTCCGGACTTTAATCATAAAAAGCGATGTAATTTATACAGTGTATACACACACTGTGTACAAAGTTATACACAACTTGTGTACAGACGATATGATTTATTTTGATAATTTCTCGAGAGAGAGAAACTTTAGTCCTAAACATCTATCATTATTTGTTCATCATCATTTGTTCATGTGTTAAAAAAAAATCATTTGTTCATGTGTTATCAGAACTGTTAGTGTAAATCATCCCTCTTTTTTTTTTTTTAGTTCAAATGTATTTATATTTAATTGTTCAAAAATGAGAATGAGTAATATAAAATATTCATGCATAAAAGCTCCCTTTTAAAAGTATATCAGTCTAACTCGTGTCATCCATGGATCCTCGGTTTCTTTCTTTCCAATTCATTGATATTAGCACAACAAATAAAAAATTATAAATACCACAGTTAATTGCACTTCTCAAGGAGAAATTATTCTGGGTGGAGGCCGGATGCAGCTCTATGTCTGGAGGTGAATCAGGTGCAGCCAAATTAGCGGTATTGAGCCGCGGTACACAACGAAAGGGCGATGTGATGCATTCTGATTGGTCTCTGAACGACATTCGATGTTCGACGTCCGTACAGAATAATTAATCCTTCTCAAGCCACCCACCTTCAGCTTAGAATTTTAAACCCACATAAATATATGTGATAGTTTAATCATAAAGGGTGATATGTAATTTTATACAGTGTGTATATTATACAGTGTATGCATATATTGTGTACAAAGTTATATAGTGTATACACATACTGACCTGCAGTACCGAGTGGTACTGAGCAGTATCGAGACACGGTACACAGCAAAAGGGTGATATGACTCATTTTGATTGGTCTCCGAACGACGTTCGATGTTCGACGTCCGCACAGAATAATTAATCCTTCTCAAGCCGCCCACCTTCAGCTTAGAATTCGAAACCCACATAAATATATGTGATCGTGCTTACATTTTGGCAGCCAATATCCACATAAAATACATTGGGAAGCGAGAAGGTTAATTAAAGCAAAAGCATGATTCTTCCATGTTAAAAGAAGGTCCCATAATTTGGCTTATATGGATTCAAATATTCAATTGCAAGGCATCGACAGACGCACCAAAACTCCAAAAGCAAAGCTTTGGAATGTAAAATACAGGAAAGCCACATGCTGCATGGAGGAAAGACAAGTCTTCTAAGGAACTTGCAGGTATAAAAAAACTGATTAAAGGACACTTAGTGCTTATTTATTTCCACATGAATGATTAAATAAAGCTTGTACTTAGCCTGGCATAGTACTTTTATGTATATTTTTTAAATTTTTTTTTGCTTTAGGGAATAGTTAAATGTTGCATATGAAAGCCAAAAGTTTAATCGATTAAATGTGGATGGAGAAAGATAGGAACATCATTGTGATTCTGTGTGATCTGTATAACGTCATTGTGGATTAGCAAATAATTTCTTGACAGGAAAAAAATGTGGAAGGTTGTGGTTAGAAGCAAGAGGCGCCTAAAGCCAAAATATTGATCGAGTAGGGAGAGAAAATGGTGAGAATGTTGGGAAGTTACTTTCTTCGAAAACTGGTTATTATATTACTGCTTACATGTGCTAGTGTGCTGCTTATTTAGGCAATGTATTTATTTAGAGAGGAGAGAGGAGAGAGGAGAGACAAGAAGTTTTTTTTTTTTGATAATTTTTAGACTATTTTTAGTAGGAGAAAGATGTGAGTGGAGATGGTGAGAGAAAGACCTAGTAAAACATTAGACTTGCACTCTCTTTTTACAACTCCTTTACCAACAGATAAAATAATTTAAGGTAAAAAATTAAACTAGTTATTTTCGGGTCAAAATCGGGTTCTCATAGGGCGTCAAAATTGGGTTTTTGTTTGGGTTCTTGTCGAACCCGGAATTGACTCGGGTTCATGCCTGCGGCCGCCGCGCACTCATAACAGCGCACCCAACCAAATATATATTGTGTATTATTAATTTAGCTAAAGCTAAAATTGAAAGCCTAAATAGACTTAAAGTTGATTGTTTTAGTGGCTTAAAAGAGCAACAAATTCGTCAACGAGAAATCCTGCTATAATTTTTGTGATTTTTCCTTTTTAAGTTATTTATTAATTCAGAGAAGCCACCAATATTATTTTTTGGACACATGAAAAGAATCAATAGTTTGTTTTCCCTTTTACTTCTCTTTCGCGACTCACGAGTCATGACCTCGAGCACGGCTTTCGTTAGGGCCCCCCCTGAACAAAATTTCTGGCTCCGCCACTGGCTACAACATTATAGGATGATATTCATTAAAAAGTTATTATTTGAATTCTAGTTTTCGAGAACTATAATCTTGACTATTGAGAGAGTGAAATAAGAGTAATTAAATAAAAGTTAGAATTATAGTATACAAATATAAATAGCATTCCTTGAAAGTAACAGTTAATAGTATCCATATGGATTATCTTTGAACTGGGTAGGGTTGATCAGACAAATCATAGCTATTACAATAAGTTCAGATCATATAATATTAGATTTTCTTCATAGTTTCAACCCATTAAATATTATTGGTGAATTGGTTGAGTTTTTTGACTAAATCTATAGAGTAGGGTTGGCCATAGGCATGTGCTAAAGCTTATCTGAAAATTGTTTTGGCAAAATCTGAGATAAGAAGTTTAGAGTGCTTGAAAAGAGGAGTTATGGTACTATAAGTCCCATCCTACACACAATTATTCAAAAGAAAAGACTATAGCTCCATCAAGATTTGATGCTCAATTCATTTAGTAAGCAAAAAGAGAGACTATCTCTTTAGAAAAAGAGGTGGATCTTTGGAAGGATTCTTATTTCTTCATTCTTAGCTTGTAATTTGAAATAATTAGAAGTAAATGATGGTTTTGTTTAAGATATAAATGATGATGATTTGAATATTGCAAAGTAAGTTATTGGAGATTCTAATTTAGTGATTGTGATTGTGATTATGTTATGTAACTTTCATGATTATGATTTTATCATATTCGATGTTGGAATTACTAAGTAAACAACTTCTTGATTCGGCAATGACATAAAGTGCTATGTTAGTCTTCCCCTAATTTAAAAGTAGACATAAACATATTAACACACTGGCTTAGATTCATACAACTAATAGATTAATGGATTAATAAGAATCATTTGTGGGTAGTTTGATTGGGATTTGAAATAGATTAATAGATTAACTGCTTAATAAATGTACTAGGTATTTAAATTAGGTTAGGGTTATTAGGTACTTAACAAGTAATTAGTGAATATGTCTACTCTTATGCCAATATAAATAACCTCCATTTGGAGACATTACAAATGAATAAAAAGCGGTAATTCTTTTTTCCTTTTTCTCTTCTTCTAGTGTTGCTGGCAAGCCTGAAGTTATCATTAACTAAAGTTGCCGACGAACTGGAATTGTCATTTATTCCTTACGATCCATCGGGATTCTATCATAGTCATGGATAGTTCATCACTCCAATTTTGATTCATGCAATTTGATATGATAGGCACGTCTTAGAGTTGAAATTAATCTCGGTTAACTTAGGCTTGATCTTGTTATTTATTGGTAAGAATGGGGTCTTATTACTTTGAGTGAGTTGGGGGCATTAACTATAAATTTTGCTTAATTATTTTTGTTTATAGAGAGTTGATTGTTGAAAACCATTATCTTTATATGATGAGATTGCAAATGCTAAGATTTTAGTATTGTTAGTCTTTTATGATAATCTCTTAGGTGAGATTCACCTAAGGTAAGAGTGATGACCCTTATATCTCCATTAATGAATCTATCGTGGCTGAAAATCAACATCTAATTTTTTATATTTTTATTTACGGGCTTTGTCCAAATTTTACCCAAAGAATTTTTCTTTGTATTGTCTATGATTGTTGCATTCTAGCTCTCTTTAATAATTATGTGGTATTGATACACAACAAAAAAATTTACTTGATCAAACACAAATCTAGATGCATATTACAATTAAAATTTTTAATAATTAAATTTAGGACCATTTGGACTTTGATGTCAATAAAAATATAGTTAAATGGACTGGCTTGACAATATGAACCCATCAATTCAAAAAGTGATCCAATCTAAGTTCAAATGAGTCCAAATCAAGCACTTGAAGCATAAAATCTTTGGGTTATTAATTAGATGATCAAACGATCTCTAAATCTTTCGTGTATATAATCAAGTCAAGTGTACTGATGCGACAAATCCAATGAGCCTAAGATCTCTTAATTCTGGCATAATTAAGATACTTAAATATTAAAAGAATTTTCTATGAACAAGGGAATTAGTGCAGACTTTTTGATGAAGTTTTTAAAACTTTGATTATATTTATGAAAATGACATCTCTCAAAAATGATAAAAAGACCATCCATCTTTATATGAAGGGGAGTGGAGTGCATATTGCAAATAGCTTAGAGATTTGAAGAATGCTACACCTTTACCAGAGCGATCACCATCTAATTCTCACTATTGGACAACCACCCAACTGTTACCATCGAAACACCGCATGGTTGCCATCATTGGAGCACCACTCGATCACAACGATCAGACTACTGCTCAACCAACACTATTGCTTCACCACCAAAATCTAACTATCACCACCGCCCAAAGTCCATTGCCCAATCATAGTTGTCAGACGATCACCCATCACCCAATTGTTGCCATCAAACACATTCGAACTATTAGCATCAAACCACAGTCGCCTAACCAAATTTGTCAGACCATCACTACTAAATCTTTGTCATCAGACCATTGCCTAATTGCTATTGATTGACCATACTCCATCCATCGTTATTAGATAACTGCTTGATTATCGTCATCAAACCCTTATTGACAACCATAGTATGATCACCATCACCCGACCACATTTGTCAGACAACCGTCAGTTGAGTTATGTCATCTTACCATCACAACCCTAACTATCAATGAACTATATATGTTAGATTGTCGCTGTCGTCAGAATGAAGCAACTTGAACATCACTTTTGAACCACCACCACTTGACTTTGACCATAATTGTCTAAATGTTTCTCATCCCTCATCTTTTACCACTTTAATAGTACTTTTTACCGCTATGAGATGAAGTTAAGTTAACAATTAATACACTTGTAATCCTGCATTCTCCAAATTGGTGGACTAGAAAATCTTTGTAACTAATATTTATCTAGTGGAATCATTTTAGGCAGATCAAGTGTGACGCCCTAAGATCTAAATGATGAATTTAAACATATTTTTTCATTTATATATTTCTCAACTCGACATTTCATTTCACCTAAAGCCAACTAATCATCCAAAATAGTATAAAATATACATCCAAAATACATATACATGATATTTATTTCAAAATACTTAAATAATGATAGTTCATATTATAATGATTACAAGAAAAGGCTTAAATACATTCTGAACAACAAAATTCAGAAGTACCTTATAGAAATTTGATCCCTCTGCTCCCTACTAGACTCAGTCTATTCAATGGGACACTTATCTTTTTGCTTGAAATGATTTAAACCACCCACTGCTGCTTACTTTGTGTGGTGGAGAACCGGCTGGGCAAAGCTCAGATGCCTGGTTCGAATCCCCTAGATGGCAGTGTAAGCCTTAACCGTCGTCTCGGGTAAATTGGTGCGGGTTGCCCGCTAGGTCGACCGAGATTTTAAGTACCATCACAACCCTAACTATCAATGAACTATAGATGTTAGATTGTCGCTGTCGTCAGAATGAAGCAACTTGAACATCACTTTTGAACCACCACCACTTGACTTTGACCATAACTCTCTAAATGTTGCTCATCTCTCATCTTTTACCACTTTAATAGTACTTTTTACTAATATGAGAAGAAGTTAAGTAAACAATTAATACACTTGTAATCCTGCATTCTCCAAACTGGTGGACTAGAAAATCCTTGTAACTAATATTTATCTAGTGGAATCGTTTTAGGCAGATCAACTATGACGCCCCAAGATCTAAGTGAGGGATTTAAACACACTTTTCCCATAAATTTATATATTTCTCAACTCAACATTTCATTTCATCCAGAGCCAACTAATCATCCAAAACAATATAAAATATACATCCAAAATACATATTACATGATATTTCTTTCAAAATACTTAAAAAATACTTAATAATGATAATTCATATTATAATGATTAAAACAAAAGGCTTAAATGCAACCTGAACAACAAAATTCATAAGTACCTTATAGAAATTTGATCCCCTGCCCTCTACCAGACTCAGTCTATTCAATGGGACACTTATCTTTGCTTGAAATGATTTAAACCTATT